TCCTTTTTTTTTTTTTTTTTTAACAGAGCCCAGTCCAGTGCCAACAAATTCTACAGGTAATTTGAGATGATTGACTCTTTTCTTCCTCTATATCTCAGGATTTTTAAGTTCTTTTGATGGATAATTTTTCAGTAATTACCTAAAAGTTGTTAGTATAATTTTAAAGATCAGTCAAGGCTTACTTAGTCTTGGACCACAGTAATTACGTTAATATATACTGTTTGTGGTAGTAACACATAATTCCAGTGTTCCCCATTCAGTGAATCTGAGGAGATTTGCTATATGGCTTTGTAATTGAGTCCATAAACTACTTGTTTATGGATTTTGTGGAAATCATGTGAAATACAGAAGCCTAAAGGAAATTGTAATTTCCATCATCCACAGGTACACCAGAATGTTTTAATGATTGATTTCTTCTAGTCTTTTTTGTGTGTGTATCTTAATAAGTATACTTTTTATGAAATTGAATATGTTCACTCACCATTGTATTTTCCCTCTTACTGTAAGCATTGTTGTATACACTTTACCCATCCTGCTCTTGATTGGACAGTTAGAGCATTTCTCATTCTCCATGCAGTGAATGTTTTTGGGGGGATTATATTTGTTCTTTGATAGGATTGATTTGAACAGAATTACTAGGTCAGAGGGTATGATTATTTTAAGTCTCTTGATACTGATTGCTTTCCAGAAAGATTTATGATTTTTTTTATTTCCATCAACAACTGGAAAGTTTTTTTCACCACACCTTCAACAGCATTCAGATATGTCCTTTTAAAATTTTGCTTGGTGGCTGGCTTGTTAGCTCAGTTGGGTAGAATGCAGTGTTATAACACCAAAATCTGGGGTTCGGATCCCTGTACCAGCCAGCCACCAGTATAAAAAAACAAAAACAAATGGCTTAAAAAAATAAATAAAACAAAATTTTTTATGTGCTAATTTTATAGGAAGAGTAAATACTTACATTTTGCAAATATTAAATGCAGGCTATAGGTGATAGGCATGTAGAGACAGAAGTAAGCCAGCATTTTGTCTACCATAGGAATAATGAAAGTTTGTTTGAGAGTTTATAGGAAGGTGCGTATATTGGGTGGCACAGCAGATTGGTGACAGTTTGGTGGCAGTGTTTGACAGACTGAAATTACATCGCCAAAATATGCAAAGAGCTTCCAGGTGGAGCAGAGTGGTTAGCACCTGGAGATGTGAAAGAGTACGATGAGATCAAGGAGTGTCCAGTACAGTGTGAGGAAGAATTAAGCTGGACAGTCAGCAGGTCAAGAGCAGCATTGGGAAGCGTTTTTGTACATGCCTTGCCTTGCTAGTGGACTTGGATGTTATCTTGAAAGATCATAAGCATGTAGGTCATATGATCAGACTTGCATTTTAATAAAATAACTTATTCTGGCATTGTGGAGAATAGATTGGAAGGAGACCAAAGTGAACCTGGGGAGATTAGATAATTTGTTACAGTAATTCTGGAGAACAAATGGAAGGGCTGCAGATGTATGCAAATAGGCTTGGAAAGTAGAAAGGAAGGACTTTATGACTGAGGGAATGGGAGGTAGAGTGATAAGGGAGAAGGTGAGGAGTCTTCTCCAAAGCAAGCAAGAAAGAGGAAGAGCAGCAGATGAAGACTGTCATTTGGGATTTTATTTTAAGATGCCTACAATCAGGACCGGCCCGTGGCTCACTCGGTAGAGTGCAGTGCTCATAACACCAAGGCCACGGGTTCGGATCCTATATAGGGATGGCCGGTTTGCTCACTAGCTGAGCGTGGTGCTGACAACACCAAGCCAAGGGTTGAGATCCCTTTACCGGTCATCTTTTAAAAAAAAAAAGATGCCTACAATCTACTTAAGTAGGATCTGTTCAGTATTCAGGAAACTAATTCTGGAGAGAGCTCTTCGCTAGAAATACAAATAAGGCAGTCAGTATAGGCAGTAGTAGCCACTGGAGGAGCATTTAGAGAAAAGGATAGGGATTGAGAACCAAACTCTGGGGAACAGTAATGTCTCGGAGAGGAAACTAAGTAGGGATGGGCATGGAAGTAGGAAAGCCCAGAGAAGCGTGGCCAGGAAACTAACAGTATGTGAGTATAGTATAGTTTTTCAAAAAAAAAAAAAACAAATGCTGTAAACAAGGACAAGAACTCATTTTGAAAGACTTGGACAGTGGTGTGTTGGAGCTGGCTCACACCAGCTTTGGCTGGCCAATTGTGTGCTGCTCATGCCTTTGTTTAGTAATATCATGTTGGTAACTTGAAATCAACTACAGTGGAAATATTCACACCATAGAAATCTGCAAATGCTACAGAACTTACTTTGAGCTGGTTGTTACACAGTGCCTATGCTCATAAACTTTTAGTACCTACTAGAAGTCAACTAAGAAGGATGTTAAAGGTTGTTGAAAGCAGAGGTTTCCAGAGGTGGGGTGTGAACAGAAGGAGAGTGAAGAGACAGTTTCCCTAAAACCATGTGGGTCTGCTTTTAATTTCTTCCCCATGAGTCCATTCTTGATGTAGTTCTCTGCTGCTTACTCTTCCCTGGGTCCTCCAGTGAAGTACCATGAGTTCTTGTTTATCTGTCTTTTGGTTCTGTTAAGTGAAGGAAGCCAGGGCTTGCCTGCAGAAAATGCATCAGTTGTTTGACGCTTACTAGTTGCAAAACAAACCTTCTGGTGGTCTCTTTTTGTGGCTTGTGCACATTGTTTCTGCTGAAGAGAGCAAGTGAGGAATTAAGGGATATTTAAGGAAACAATGCAAAGAGAATCTGACTTATGTAGAAAGGTGTGCATTGGGATTAATTATAATAGCCCTCCCCCAGTACAAATAATATAAATATTTAACAATAGAATGACCAAATGATGTCCAAGATATGGTGGAAAATCATCATTAAGTAGAAGGCACACTATTAAGTACTTAATTCTAGTACAATTTTAGTTTTTATTGTATACATGCCTAGAAAAATTTCTGGCAGGAAGTAACATGTTTTTTTTTTTCCCCCCCAAGAAGATGACGGGTAAGGGGATCTCAACCCTTGGCTTGGTGTTGTCAGCACCACGCTCAGCCAGTGAGCTAACCGGCCATCCCTATATAGGATCCGAACCCGCGGCCTTGGTGTTATGAGCACCACACACTACCGAGTGAGCCACGGGCCGACCCTATATAGGATCCGAACCCGCGGCCTTGGTGTTATCAGCACCGCACTCTACCGAGTGAGCTACGGGCCGGCCCAGGAAGTAACATGTTACTTTGGGTAGTGGGATTACTTAAATATGTTTATTTTCTAAATCTTACCAACAGCAGCTTTTATAACCTATGAATTCTTTTTTTAAGATGAAGGAAATATATCGTAGGTCAATAGAGGTATATTCCCTAAGTACTATATTATTTTGAAAATATTGTCAATGTAATACATTTCTCAGAATTAAAAATTTCTAAATATTTTGTCCACTTACAAAAAAACATTAGTTTTTACCATGTCCCAGGGGTGGGTGGTGACAATCAGATAGCAAGTTAGGAGAATATTTTTTCCTAACGTTGTCAAAATTAGTAATAGTGTTTTAAGACTGAAAAGAATTTGATATGTTTTTAATTGTAAAGTGTATTTTTTGCGATTACACAGAAGATACACTTGAACAAGCAACAAAAACCTTGAAGGGAATAATAAGCCTTGAAATAATCATATACTGTAATCTAGGAATTCTGTAGAAGGATCAGTCCTATCAGATGAGATATTTCCCTAGATGATCTTGACAGCATGGAGAAATTAGAGGTGAGAGAACTGTTTAGTCAAGAGCAGGATGGATAAAGTGTGTGCAACAATGCTTGAAGCAAGAGGGAAAAGGATATAATTGTGTGTGAACATATCTATCGGTATTATTAAGCGTGTTATCTGTATGTTTCTACTAGAAATATCAATACTAGTAGAAGTCTGACCAGAGCTTTTAGAAATATGCACTAATAATAATTAGGCATACTAGGATCCTGTCATTACTTAGCCTCCTAGGATCCTGTCATTCTTGGAATATGGCAGTCTACTTGTGTGAGAGTTCTGGTCTTTATAGGGCTTCTTTTTAGCAATATTCTTTGTCTTAAAGCTGTCAAATCCCACTCTGTTGGTGTATAATTACTATTAAAGCACAGAACTTCCTGTTTATATTAATGGACTTTGGGAGGATACTTATTAGTATTGAGGTTTTTGTTTTGTTTTGATTGTTTTAAAGACAGTATAATACAATGGAAGATAACTTCATTTCTGTGCTTCATCAATTTGGCACCCTTTCCCTGTCTTCTCTGTTGTGGGTTAAGCATATCACTTTGAAGTCTATTCAGTTATGTACTTTAAACAGAAGTAACATTTGTTTCAAGATTCTCTTTAGCCCTCAAATCCTTTTTTCCTCTTTTCTTTTTTTTCTGGTGGCTGGTGAGTACAGGGATCTGAAACTCAAATCTTTTTCTGAAACAGTGAAAAAACTAACGTTTGTATAGCATCTTATATTTTTCATAAAAATATAAACCTCATGCAATTAATATTCCTCATCTTCCCCCCAAATCATCCCTAGTTGCCCTCCAGAGTAAGCAAATCTCCATATTGAAGTCCCTGCATTATGAAGCCTGACTATTTCCTGAGATGCAATAAGGACCTTTCTTAGCTAGTGATTCCTGTAGCACCTTCCCTAGAGAGTGCACTCTCATTTTACAGAAATTTAAACCCTAACTTTAAGGACAACCTCATAATGAAAGCTTTCTGAAGTGCTTCAGCAAACCTTGAATTCATTTAATAACTCTAAAGTCATTTGACATTAGGAAAATGTTAATTTGTATAAACTATATTTAGGTTTTTCCTCCCTAATACTGGTATGAGAACCCTGATAGAGGACACCTTGTAATACACATTAATAGTTAGAACTTCCCTTCTTTATAAAGTGCTTCAGTTCCTAAAATGATTTTACATTCAAACTAATTCTTCTTGGCATGTGCATTTCTTTAAAGGCATCATCAGATAGTATTTTGGCCTCATACAATGTGGAAGACTAGAGCTTACCCTTGGGCTCTTATAATCTAAATTGGGGGAAGTATGGCCCCAGGGCATCTGTTTTTATAAAGTTTTATTGTAACCACAACCATGCCCGTTTATTTGCATGTTGTCTTTGGCTGTTTTGCATTACACAGTGCACAAAAACTAAAATATTTGCTGTCTGCCCCTTTTAAGTTTGCCAACACCTAAAGTGAAGAAGATAAAAATAGACAAATCTTTATACCCACATAAGAGACTACTAAGTTGTATTTGTTTCTTACCATGACTTTAATA